TACCTTCCAAATACTTTTTGTTCTAAGAAATCTAGAACACCACTTTGAGGAAAGCTATTCTGGTCTAATCACATAACAAATGGGCAGTAGAGAGGCCAATTGTAAAAATAATATGTGAAAAGTGCCAGCCTGAAGCCCTTCTCCAAGATAAAATGGTCTTGGGGAGAAGAAGGCCTGCAAGAAACTGATGCCAGCATGGGATGGGCACATTTTGCATCCCTTAGGCATGTATACTTCCACTTTATTAAAAATTAACACCCATACATTCCTTCAATTTTACTATGATAGTATATTTAAAAAGAACTAAAATTCAGATTCCCAGCTAAAGTAGAGTGAGGAGAAAATTAGTCTCCAATCTTAATTTTGCACAGTACTTGCTAAATGACATTGTTCAAACTATTGGCTGGACTCATAGGTGGATCTAAAATGGAATATGGTTTGATTTAGCATATTGTGCAAACTTGGCCCTTGTTTTTCATAAACCATGGCTTATGGCTTCCTAATCACTTGTGAATCCAGCTATTGGGGGCTATTCTGTACTTCACAGCTTAGCAGGATGTGTGAACCAGGCTTTCAACTATAGCAGAGTTTTTAAAGTGTGGTCTGGGGGTCCCCCAAGACCCTCTCAAGGGTCTGTGAAATCAAAATTATTTGCCAGGTTAATATCTGGCAAAAGGTATTTATAAAAATTTAAAACAATGTTACTCTTCTCATTTTTTTATTTTTTTAAAAAATAGGGTTTTTTCATGAAAAATATTAATGTTAATATCTAATGGATTTAATGTTATTTTTTCATGATTCAATAAATAAATATTCTACAAATGCATCAATTTTAATGTTTAATGTGGTAAATATTGATAAATATAACCTATACAAATAAAAGTTCCTTTGGGGGTCCTCCATAATTTTTAAAAGTGGGAAGGGCTCCTGAGAACAAAAGGTTTAAGAAATAATGAACTAGAGTAATCTGTCTTTGTAATATGAATGTTACCTTTCAGGCATGTGTCAACAATAAGCAAAGGTGTAACTGCAGGTCTACTTAGGGAGTAACGATAAAGCACACATAGGAGCAATTCTATATGTAGACTTACTGAGTCACCAGAAGTTGGAGATTTGTCTGAAGGAAACCTCTGTAGTGGGCTAACTAGCCTTCAAAGGAGCCTTAAAGAGGGCCATGTGGATGGTAATTGGGTGGGGATCCCTCTTCATCCTGCCAAATTCCTGCAGCTGGATGAGGCCTCACATCCCCCCCCACCCCCGGCATGGCCATGATGGCCAATACTGTTTTGTGCCCTGGAGTCATTCAGGAAGGGGGAAGGAGGGTTGGATGACAAAAAGTTGAGGTAAAGGAGGCAAAGGTGAATCTACCTTTTTGCCTTTCTTTCCTGGAAGGATTTTTTTTAGATTTTTTATTCCACCTTCCTTATTTTTATAAATAACTCAAGGCAGTGAATGTACCTAATACTTCTTCCTCTTATTATTCCTGCAACAACCACCCTGTGAGGTGAGTTGGGCTGAGAGGGAGGGACTGACCCAACGTCACTCAGCTGGCTTTCAGGCCTAAGGGGGGACTAGAACTCACAGCCTCCTGCTTTCTAGCCTGGTGCCTTCACCACTAGACCGAACTGCATTGCATTGGTGCCTGCCTATGAGCTAAAGGGCTTGCATTTAAGTATCTACCTCCTGCCTGTTGGGGCGGGGGTCTCCCAGATGAATTCCCGCCTTTTCCTGCACACTGGAGTGTGACAGAAAGCAAGGGCCAGAAGAAGGTAAGGGGGGAGTTTTGAAGTCTAAGGTGGCCTTTGAAGATTGTGGTGGATGGATTTGGGGGGGCTGGGGGGTTGGATAATCCAGAGAAAGTAGCTGTTATTTCAGTTCTGAAGACTGGAGATTCATGTTAATAGTCAAGGCCTAGGTTTGAATGCAATCATAGTTAAATTGTGAAGAAAACACGTTTTAAAACTTCAGGAATCAGTATCAGGCTTTCTTGAAGCAGGCTGAATCACATTGTAGCCAAACCAAATGTCAAGGTATTATTTGTGTAAACTCAGCCTGTGTGGTTAATTTGTGGCTGGGTTTGCCCTGTGAACTGAGGAAATTGGGCTGGGTTGAGGCAAAGCCTGTGGATTAACATGGTCTGTGAATGCAGGTTAGTTTCTTTCTATGCTGCAGAGCAACTGTTTCTGAAGGGCAGCCCCAGTCACAGTGATTCTTAAACTGGGGGTAATTATCCCAAGGGGTGATGGAGCAATTTGAAATTGCTTGTTTATGATTTGAGGATGCAGTTTGGGACTGCTGCTGCTGAGACGCTTGTAAACAAACGAAGAAAGAAACAGACAAACAGGAGTCAGTTTTCCTGGGGGGATCATGACAATTTTGGAGACTGTGAAGAGGAGTAATTGGGTCAAACACTTTAAGAAGTGCTATCCTGTCATTTCTGAGTTTGGGCTGTAATGGCTAGTGGAAATAAAAGTCCAGCAAGAGGAGAGCCATTGGTTTCTCATCCCTTCCCTAATTGGGGATCGAAAAACCTAACATAGTAGTGGCCAAGAGAGTTCACCAGCCTTGTAGTAGTTACTACTTAAAGGCAGGATGGAATGCAAGAAGCTGCTGATCTTGCCTCAAACCTGAACCAAGGATTTGAATGGAAGTCCTGTTTTCTCATCCCTACATCTGCAATTCATAACAGCTGGTCTTCTTTTCACTCTTGTCACACTTTTCACACTTGGAGCTTGTGACCTAATTCACATATTACATCCTACTATGATGGCTTCACTATGGTGGAGCCATGTAGACCATACTCACCCATTACAATAAGCTGTAGTATGCTTTGTTTGGTTTTTATGTGTCTGTTCAAACCATTTCTACAGCCACCCATCTCAATTACTTTTGGTCAGACTTGTTCTGTGAACAACATTGTGATTGTACAGCACTGCTGATGGTTTTTAATTTTTTAATTACATTGCATTACATTAAATTAAAATTTATTTTTTAATTACAGGGCAGTCGTACTGAAAGAAGCGGGTTGATATTCTGATTCCCTAGGTGTAAAATTGAAGTCTTTGAGGTAAACTAAATTAATTATCAAGTCTGAGAATAAATATTTATAAATATGATCACACTGAAAAGGACTTCTATTTTTAACATTACAGCAGACAGCAGACACTGTGCAACAAATATTATATATTGCCTGTTATTCTTTATAATAATCCTATAATTGGTGAAATTAATTAGTATTTATAGTACCTTCAAAATTATACTACCAACTTTCTCTTTTTACTTACTTCAAGAGTTGCAGGCAGTGCACTTAGCATCACTGAGCGTTTAAAAATGGAAATACCATAGTTTATGCAGCAGACGTGTTTGGAAGTGATACAGAAGACTTATTTCAAATAAATATACAATTTCAACCATGATTATTGTATAAATAGCTTAACTAATGTAGAGATATATTACTGTTATGAATTTGATACTGTTACTTCATAATTATCATGGTTTTCTGCAGTGAATCTGATATACAACAGTTGGCAGAGAAATGCTGCTCTGTTGCGTAACTGAAGATTTTATAGAATACATCTGACATAATTAGTTCAGCATAGGACTACCGTATCTGGGCTGCAAAAATCCAGACTGCCACTATCATTTTATGTATCTCTTTGCTGCCATCTAGTGATTGTCCAGATTTCTGCTGCCCAAATATGGTAACTCTGGTTCACCATGTACAGAGTATAAAAATAAAACCTCAAATTAAACTTGTTGACTACAGCCTGTGAACAGTTTGATCTATAATGAATCAGTTTGTTTTTAAGGCTCCCTGTTTTATTTCATATATGTTATGGATGAATTAGTATACATTATTCACAATATTGGAAATTACATTTAGAATTTATATTATTTCAAAATGCGGAAATAGAGGAAATAGAAGTGGGGTTTTCTAAAGGCTCAGATAAAGTCTTCATACTTGTTCAAAACAGTTGCTTCTTTTATTATCATTAAACAGATGCAAAAAATAACAGAATATTTTTTAAGATAATAAGAGAATCATATTCACTATAAAATTTTGTCAAAAAATTATTGTTTAAATATAATACAGCTGTAATACATAATCACAGAGTTTACATCAATACTTTTTATTTAAAATGTAGATTTAAAAATATGACCAATGTTACTGTATTTTTATAATGAAGAAATGTTCAGACTAAACCATATATATTTCATTTTGAGATACATTTTAATATAGCAATAATAATGTGGCTTGGGTTATGTAATTGCTTGATAGGGTAATGCACTAAAGATGCAGTTATCTCTTTAATAGACCAGACCTTTATCTTTCAAATCACAACTTGTTAAATAAGTATATTTACAGAAAAAAATGTTAATGTAAAGAAAAAGCAAAACGGAAGGATGTGGCTCAAATCTCTTTAGTAGGAAAATGTAGCTAGCTTGCATTTGCATGAGTGAACTGGCTGATAGAAAGTAGAGGTAGAGAATCCTTTCTAAACTGATGTTTTATCTCTTTAAATTGCCCTTATTTATTTATTTATTTCTCCAGCTGAGAAATAGGATCTTGAATCTAATTTAGATAGTTGAGGTAGGGGCAGAGAGGCTGTTACATGGCTCTAACAAATGGGGAAAAGATTTTCCTCTTATTCACTGGAAAAACATAAGGACCAAACAACATCTGAAAGTAGAAGGACTGGGGCATATCTGTAACCAAGAGGTTGCCTGTGTATCTTCCTTCCTCCAGCCCCCAATAATTTTAAAAGGGTCTGTCTCCATGAAGTAAATTCATTCTATGTGGTGAAGGGCTTCCATTCCCATACATCCTGTTAAGATTTATTTTAATGCGTACAAACTGACTTTTTGTTACAAAGTCTTTGGAAAGTGGTAAAATTGGGAAATTGGGTTGGATCCACAACAATGTTATA